AAAAAAAAAAAAAAAAAAACAGAGGGCCTTGCTTCACTATTCTTGACAAGCACAAAAGACACAAATCACGGCGCTGTATCTTTCCATGTTCTACAGGAAGATTCACTCTCATTTTGCACATTTGGAGAGTAGTGGAGCCAGGCAAAACCAGAGTGAATCTTCCGCTACAACATGGAAAGATGCACCGCCACGAGGCCCCAAGGATGACACACATAGGTCCCGAAATCGGAGAAAGAGAAAAAAAAAAGAAAAGAAACTGGGTTGTTGTCAGCATGTGTCTCCCTTAGGGCCTCTGCGTTGTTGTCAGCCCGTGTATCCCGCTGGGCCCCTGTGTTCCGGTTGCACAGAAGACAAAAATCATGGAGCTGTATCTTTCCATGTTCTGGCGAAGACTCACTCTCGTTTTGCACATTTGGAGATCAATCGTGGAAACCGAGAGTGAATCGTTCGGTAGAACGTGGAAAGATACAGCGCCACGATCTTTTTTTTTTTCCTTCTTGTTTCTTCTTTTCTTTTTTGGAAAACGGCCCGGCCCTCCTATGTGGATGACTAGTCTAAGACTGCAGTTACAAACTCTGCCCTGCGACAGCCACGCAACTGTGGAGTTTAGCCTGCAGTGTAAGCTTCAGAGGGGACTGGACTCCAAAACGGCAGTTTGAAATGTATTTTCAAACTGTAACCCTGACCGCGCCCTAGTTTTCTCTTCAGAAATAAACTTCAGTGTGTCCCGGTAGGCAGAATGTCAAACGCTTCCTAATATCAACTAAGCGCACTCCATGGTTGACTATCTGCATACTTGGCTCTCACTCAAAACATAACGACTCTATCGGTGTGACTGGCCAGAAATAATTCTACTAACACCGAGAGATTTCCTCCCCTAAGTACCAGTAGAATGAATGAACCTTGAGCCAAAGCATCGTAACATCACAACAGCAGAAGCGGTCCCAAGAATCTACTATGTAGACGGTAGACAACACTCGAAAGAAGAAGTGAAGTACCCAATCAGAATTCCAGAAACCTACAAGATATCAAACTAAAGGAACGATTGCTCCGCACAACCAAAAACCTAACCAGCACTGCTAGCAGAGCAAGAACCAAGTACCAAAAACCACAGACCTAACCAACGCTTAAGAACATCGAGAATCTGTGAATGAACATATAATTCTAAAAAATTGCAACATCAAGCACAAATCCCAAGTCCTAGCCTCAGTGAGAACTGACTGACCACCGCCATCAATCACACGAGGGAAATGCGTTGTGGAGATGTTTCCAACAGATATCTCAATCATTCATAAGAACGCGAATACCAACGGACAAAAGCCTTCAAACTACATCATCAACTAGGAACGGAAAACTAAGCAGAACGCAGAGAACGAAAGTAACCTTATATGTAACCATTCACAGGCACTGTGGCCAAAGAGAACCAAATTAAGTGAGAAAACAGAACACGAAGTAAATGAACATCAAACTTCCTTGTGAGTCGTGATGTAGATGGGTCCAACGAGACCTGCTGAAGCTCTTGGACATGCCGAAGCGCCGCCACCGCAGCCGCACGCTCTCCCACTGCGTCCAATTGCGCCGCTCCGCCTTCCAAGCTTTTCTAATAAATTTGTACCCGCCCTCAATGTATCCGGCCAGCAATCTGGGGGCCAGTACATCTAGATTGTCCCAGACAAAAGACGTGTCGTGAAAGAAGCCATACGGCCTTTGGATGGTGAAAAAGGAGCCCCCCTTTCCAGCTACAGGCTTGAGGGGAGGACGGCTCCTCTGGTGTCGAGATCCTGTTAGGTTTGAAGATTGGTATGGAGGTCAAATGCAGGGCTACCAGGATGCCTTGGTGTAAGAGTGCAAAGGCACTCCCTAACCCACTCAAGGGCTAGGCTATGCCAGGGCACTGTTGCCATAGCTCTCACACAGCTATGATGCCTGGCAGGGTAGCCGCCTCGTAGAGAGAATCAGCATCCACATGCT